AAATCTATGGTTTTCGTTAGTTTTATTTTTAACTCGATATGTCCTTTAGGCCTTAGCCATGGCATGCAGCCTGAGTGTAGTAAAGAAGCTTGTTCAGCTTGGCTTGCTATTTCCTCAAGCCTTACAAACGGAGCTCATTTCATGAAGAGTGCAAGTCTTTTCATTTTCAAAATCAAGCAACTATGACAATGACAATGAAACTGCATTTTCACAAAAAGTGTTCATAAGTTGTGATTGAGATATCAAGACCGCTTCAAGATTATTGATAATCTGTAAAGTTGATTAATCGGCACCATAATCCTTATCGAGCAATGATAAAATATAGCTTTAAACCACTTTTACACAGTAAATATAGCCTCATCACCTTTGAATTACAAGATCAAAATCATTTCGAGAAATGGCAATACGTCACCAATCATTTGTTGGTTTAAATTTTTATCGATGAATCTTTCGTGTGTAACATTTTAAATAAAATAATCTATCTAAATGAATGTATCACTGAATAACTCAATTTTAAATATTCAATTGTTTACAGTTGATTTTATGATGATTAAGGATTTTACAAAACAAGATTAATTAATTTTCCTGGCTAAATGTAAACAAGATAAACTACGCCTACTCAGAGGGACCATCTCAAAATTTAGTTTAAATTACTGGTCTGTGTATTTACAGCTTAACCGACTGTGTAATATCAATTACAGTGGAGTACCAGATACTGTCAGTACCAGATAATGTCAGTAGATTTTTCAATGGTCCCTCAATCTCTTTGTTTACATTTTACAATGAGAGGGTAAAGAGTAAATCTTTATTATGCCAACTAGAAATTTGACTATTAAAGAAAGATTTAATTTAATTAATGAAGTTAATAATGAAAATATTAATGTTTTCGATGCGGCCAATAACTATAAGTGCCATGTTCGTACTGTCTTTAGATGTTTATCGAATCAAAATGAAATAACAAATGCTTATGATGCTGGATGTAGGAAGAGAACAAGGTAAGTCAAAATTTGTTCCAATATCAAGCTGATTTGTTAATTTTTTTTATCTACTTTCATTTCAGGTTGGATAAAAATGAAAAATTATCGCAACATGATGAGTTGGTCAGGAATTTTATTCTTGTGTGTCAACAAAAAGGAATACCATTGAGTGCCAACATAATAAAACAAGTTGCAAGACAGAAGGCCATTGAAATTAATAGAGATGAATTAATGTGTTCCTCCATGTGGTTTAAAAGATTTAAAGAAAGGATTAATTTGAAATTAGGTAAATTTTCAGGAGAAAGAAATTCAATTAATCAAGAAAAAGTTAAGAGATGGAAAGAGGAAACAATCCCAAGAATTATGATGAACTGGAGCAATGAATTCATTTACAATTGTGATGAAACTGGCCTTTTATACCGACAAGTTCCTCTAAAAACCTATTTTATATCCAAGACTGATCACATCGGAGACACAGTATTTAAAGAAAGAGTTTCAATTCTGTTTTGTGTAAATAGAAATGGTGGTAAACTTCCTGTTTTAGTGATAGGAAAATCGGTCAAACCTCGCGATTTTTTTACTGGTTGTTTAGATAATTTAAATGTTGACTATTTTGCTCAAGCTAACGCTTGGATGACCAGACAAATTTTTGAAAAATGGTTAGCAAATTGGCACAGATCTTTAGTCGCAGAAAATAAAAAAGTAGTTCTAATATTAGATAACTTTAAAGGTCATCAAGTTGACTATGATAATTATCCAAATATAACATTTCATTTTTTACCTTCATCAACAACATCTCTCACTCAACCTCTTGATGCAGGTATTATCCGGTCATTTAAATCTAAATACATGTGCCTTTTTGTTAATGAATTATTACAAGATACTGATTCTATTCATGTTAGTCAAATCGCTAAAAAAATAAAACTTCTCAAAGCAATAAATTGGATAGACAGTGCTTGGAACTCAGTCACAAGCGAAACTATAGTCAATTGTTGGACCCATTTTGGGTATATCAATTCAGAAGTGCCTTACTATTCTGATTTAACTGATAAACTAAGTCAACTTTCCCTTAAAATTTCTACTAAATTTGTTGAACCAAATGAACTATTAGACCAAATAACCTTCGATTATGTAAATTATCTTGAATAAATCTCACTTTAATTTCTCTATGAATAGCTCTTGCTGTGTGAATAAGCTATTTCCAGTTACTGACAGTATCTGGTACTCCACTGTATGATATTGAATTGTATCAAGATGGAAATTTTAATGGTGAAACAATTTCCAGATTAATACTACAATGTTAAATATATGAAAAAAAACTCAGACTCAAAACTCTTAATTTAATTGAATGGAAATAAATGAATTCAACTCGAGAATCGTTGTTGGATTACAAAGTTAGATTCAACTCTTTCTAATTCTCTCCATTACTTCAATTGTTTAGGACAAGAAGTGATATTCAAGATGCTCAGATGCATTTGAGTGATTATTAAAAGTAATAGAGATGTTTACGACTAAACATCGGTATTTAAAATGATTAATTCAATTATTTCTCATGGTTACTTTCAATCTATTTTTTCTTCTTTTTTCTCAGTGACCTACTAAAAATCATCATCATAATCATCAACAACATCATAAGTGATGAAGCTTGTTATTCAGTATGATCAAAACATTGATGGATCGATAAAAAGGTACAAGCAATGGAAATCATGGCTGTTTCTGTTGTACTAATATTTTGGTTTCTAATCATGTAAATGAGAAACAATAATGGTGCTTACCTACACAGACTGAGGCCTAAATGATGTATATAAATGGAGTATGAATGAGTTGAACATTTTTATCATCATTGGACAAAGAAGAGATCCCAGTAACAATGAGAGGGAAATCGGTGGAAGTGTACTTGTTGTGTATCTTGAGGTAGAGAAGTGGTAGTCAGTAGTCAAGGGCAAGGTAGTACTTGATGCTTGAAGTTTAATGATCAATTGACTTGGTGCGAGTTTTAATGGTGGATTTGGCAATTAAATCTGAGGTAAATTGAAAATATGTAACCGTGAAATGGAGAAAAATAGAAAGAATGATGTTTGATTAAGAGATACTTGGTTTAAATTACAATGGTAACAGAATTTTGTAAACACGTCACTTACCTTTCTTTAGGTTACTTGGACAGTATTGATTTAAACAATACAATTACGAGGAGAAACACAGTTTGATTTCCGATGAAATATTAGTACAAAGTGAGTGAGTGAGAGTGAGAAACAAATATAAGGAAAGTAAACGAGTGTTGGTGATAATGATGATGCTGAGAGTGGAGATGTTGATTGTGATTGCTATGAAAGATTCAAACCGCCTTCAAATGTGAATGATAATAGCGTTAATGATATTTCAGTTTCAGATCATCTTTACAAAAAACAGCTTGGTGAGGTTTGAGTATTTGAGTGGTTGGTGATGATTGCAGATAGACTGTCAGAAGAAAGTAAAGACTGGCGAGGAAAATAGATTATAATTTATGGTGTTGCCTTTCTGTTGGTGATGACTAAATGATAACTGTTACTCTTGGTGTTGGTGTTAACAGTGAAACTCCTTAAGCGTTTGCTAGCTTTTTGATCCGATCTGACATCCGAAAGAGGACCAAATACACCGATAGACGAGTAAACAACAATTTTAGGTTGTCTATAATGGAAACACCTTCTGGATCACAATCTGTTTACAATAAAAGAAAGATAAGAGAAAAAGAAAATTGAGATAAGTCATTGGATCGTCAATAAATAGACATTAAACCGATTAAACAATCATAAATAAATTGATTATGTAACAATTAATGATAAGTCGATAATTGGCACAGAAATTAGATTTGGCATTGAGAAAGGTAGGGTGAAGAAGCATTGTAATCATTCTTAGGTTAGGAAGAAACAACGGTTCTAGCGGGATCGTTTTAATGGAGAAAACCATTGAATTGAAGCTGTTTCTAAAACTAATACTATGGCAATTGGTTGTAGATTGAAGCAAATTCAGAGAGAAAATAGTAAATTAATAAATACTTACGGTTGAAGAAATGTTAAGGTTTGGCAAATTCACAAGATTATGGGTAACAGAATGAAGCCCGAATCAAGTTAACAATCCTTATAAACATTAATGAAACAAGATGATGTTTATATTTTTCAACTGACGATTAGCTGACGAAAGTGATTGAAATGAATATGTTGAACAATCATTTGGTAGACAACAGTATACAAGAGACAATGTGGTTTTATCAAAGTGACAAAGTAAATTGTAAAAGAGAGGCAAAAAAGATAAAAAGACAGAGTGAAGGAGAAAATGTAGAATTGCAGAGATCGTTTGGTTTGTTTTTGAGCTGTTTACCAACGGTTAGTCAACAACAACATGCTTCAACAAGCACTAACAGAAAGCACGGAGATCAGGAAGAATAAAGCCAAACCAGTGGATAGGAAATTTGCACAAACCAATGTGGATAACTGTATGAAGCTTTAGCTGTTGGTAATTTTGGTGGTCACCAGATAATCAAAAGTAAAGATGATGTTGTTGTTGTTGAGAGTGATGATGATAATTATGATGA